TGCTGAAAATGATCTGCGAAGGCTTGAATTAGGCTGAAAAAATTGCCACTATGTGCTGAATTTAGTCTTTTCGTTCTGAATTAGTGCTAGTCGGTGCTGAAAATGATCTGCGAAGGCTTGAATTAGGCTGAAAAAATTGCCACTATGTGCTGAATTAAGTCTTTTCGTTCTGAATTAGTGCTAGTCAGTGCTGAAAATGATCTGCGAAGGCTTGAATTAGGCTGAAAAAATTGCCACTATGTGCTGAATTTAGTCTTTTCGTTCTGAATTAGTGCTAGTCGATGCTGAAAATGATCTGCGAAGGCTTGAATTAGGCTGAAAAAATTGCCACTATGTGCTGAATTTAGTCTTTTCGTTCTGAATTAGTGCTAGTCGTGCCTGAAATGATCTCCGAAGGCTTGAATTATGCTGAAATTAAGCTTATAAGCAAACCCGGTAGGTTCTGATCTACTCCTAACAATGCTTTCAAGAAGTACACGGATCTGAATTAACGCTGGTTATTGTGAATACTGTCACTGAGTTCTAGTCTGTGCCACTGAACAAAAGATTTCAGAACAAATTCAGAATTTACTCACTATAGAATGCTAGAACTATTTCAGAATTACTGAGATTTAATTCAGAATTATAACAAGCTTGGGCTGACAGTGAGTGATTGGTGTTTGTTGTTGGTCGAGTATTTTCATCACCTCTAACTTCTATCTGTTTGTAAGATCAATTCTATTCCCATCCTTGAATCAAGTCAACCTGTCCCGGATCAGCCTAGCGTTGTTGCAACCAAATTATCCATGCCTAACGTGTCTATCCCCCCTTGTTTAATGAACTGTGTGTATGTGTTTTTACCTCGATCCGTTTAGTCAGACAGTTGAACTCATGGCCCAATCAGAGTATTTTGTGAACTGTTAATTTTGCTGACCCATGTCTAACTTTGTACTATTCTGTCGAGTTTATCTTATTTATTGATTTTCATCTGTATTTTCCTACGTGGTTAAGTAGCCAATTAAATTCTATCTTTGTGCCTATGCTCGGTCTATCTCTCTTAAACGCTCTCTGTTTTATGCCATGCCTTACTTGGGTTCATTCTTCTACTGACTGCTTACCTGAACGGTCGTGTCTGGTTCCGGCTAGTTCGCAATTTTGGCTTTAACGTTATTCCGCTCTGATAGCGGTACCTTGCTTTCTGTTAAGCGTTGTACTTTGTACTCTTGAAACCGTTAAGGTTTGTTGTATATATAATTATTGATTTGTTTATTAATAGTACCGTAGAAACAGTGACCGGCTTCTTGTTTGTTCTGGACCGGGATAGCCTTTATCTACGCGTGACTTAATTTCAAGCGATATTGCGCTTACAGTACTTAACGTAGTACATAACGCTAAAGGGATAGAGACCGTACTGAACTGGTCAGTACTCAACGTCTAATAGGAAAATCCCGTACTGAACTGGTCAGTACTGAGCGTTCATCGAGAAGAAACTGTGGTGAATTGGCAGCACACAACGTTATTGACAATACATTGTCTTTGGAACAATGCAAACCAGATCAGGGAATCAAATTTCGGAGCAGCAGTCGGAGAGTCGGCAAGTCCCCGTTCGTATAAATGATCATGTTGATAATCTTTCGTGCCCCGGCTCTCATGTCAGTAGTTCGAAATTATCATTACCGCGAGTAACTAGTGCTAAGTCGTTGCTACTAAGGGCGCAGCTAAAAGAGAAACAGCTTCGAGAGGAGTTAGAGTTAGAGAAAAAGTTGCTAAAGGCTAGACATGATGTCGAAATGGCCGAGCTGCATGTGAAGTTAGCCGAGGACGACGAACGGAAAACTCATGGAAATACGAAAAGAGGCACTGTCAATTACGCTCGAATCAGCAAAGACAGTATCAAAGACGAAAAAAAAAAACTATGTGAAGCTGAGCTTAAGGATACTGAAGAAAACAAAAACTCATTTTCTATTGAAGATCGTAAGGCAATCGAGTTTGTTACTCAAAGCACCGTAGTAGAAAAGACGCATAACATCATTCCCTTGCCATGGGAAGATCCGACAAAGGTAACGGACAATAATTATGTAGTCGCCATAAAGCCGTTACTCAATCTGAAACAGAGGGTATCGTGTGACAAGAACCTTTTAGCACGATATGTGGAGGGGATAAATACGATGTTAAAAAATGGTTATGCCCTTCCGGTACCCCCAAAGCAGCTAGCAGCGAACTATCGTTCGAGGTGGTATCTTCCACATCATACCGTTATGAAAACGAAAAAGCCAGATAAACTGAGAAGAGTAATAGATTGTGCTGCAACCTTTAGAGGTGATTCTTTGAACGATAAGCTATATCAAGAACCTGATACGATTTCTGAGCTTGTTGGTGTTCAGTTGCGCTTTCGAGAAAAGCCTATTGCCGAAGCCGCGGACATAGCTGATATGTTTATGCAAGTGAAGGTGCTAGTAGACGATCGAGGAGCATTACGATTTCTGTGGTGGCAAGATGGTTGGCTAGGCGTTGGCCGCGAGGAGTTCTTGCGGGATGCGAGCAATCCGCGGACGGACTTGTCAGAATGGTTACAATAAGAACGAGAAACGGCGAGTTGAAGCGCGATATACGTAAGATATGCCTACTAGAGGGAAGTCATTTGTAAGAGAGCCGGGCACGAGGGTTATTCTGTATAACATGATTCATAAAATCCTAGTCGGATTTTGGGGGCCGGTGTAAGATCAATTCTATTCCCATCCTTGAATCAAGTCAACCTGTCCCGGATCAGCCTAGCGTTGTTGCAACCAAATTATCCATGCCTAACGTGTCTATCCCACCTTGTTTAATGAACTGTGTGTATGTGTTTTTACCTCGATCCGTTTAGTCAGACAGTTGAACTCATGGCCCAATCAGAGTATTTTGTGAACTGTTATTTTTGCTGACCCATGTCTAACTTTGTACTATTCTGTCGAGTTTATCTTATTTATTGATTTTCATCTGTATTTTCCTACGTGGTTAAGTAGCCAATTAAATTCTATCTTTGTGCCTATGCTCGGTCTATCTCTCTTAAACGCTCTCTGTTTTATGCCATGCCTTACTTGGGTTCATTCTTCTACTGACTGCTTACCTGAACGGTCGTGTCTGGTTCCGGCTAGTTCGCAATTTTGGCTTTAACGTTATTCCGCTCTGATAGCGGTACCTTGCTTTCTGTTAAGCGTTGTACTTTGTACTCTTGAAACCGATAAGGTTTGTTGTATATATAATTATTGATTTGTTTATTAATAGTACCGTAGAAACAGTGACCGGCTTCTTGTTTGTTCTGGACCGGGATAGCCTTTATCTACGCGTGACTTAATTTCAAGCGATATTGCGCTTACACTGTTAATCTTGAGTCCTGTAGTCTCTACGATTTCTGCCAGTTTGTTGGTTATCGCTTACATCTCTCTGAGTTTGTGCTAGATGTGACATGTATTATCCGCGAAATCCAGATATTCTGCAGTCTTTTGTCACTCCAGTGTATGCCCGTTTTCTCAACCCCCAATAGTTGCCTCATGGCTCAACCCAACTTAATCAGAAAAATCATCGGTAACAGTAGACAACACGGTCTAACTCCTGTCTTCAGTATAAACGCTATACTGAATACCTTAGCATTTGACATAACCGGATAACAGTTCGATGCGGCTCTGTACACTGTAGAGTTGAAATGGTTTCCTAATCACTTTGCGGTTAACACTGACAAAGGCCTTCTCAAAACCAATGAGTCTAAGATGCAGAGTTAACTACCATTTCAAACTTTGCTAGATGATGATGCGTAGGTCTGCAGGTTCGTCCTCAGTGCTGCTTTCTCAGATTTTAGTGACTGCGTTTTCTTCAAGATTTCTGCTACTTTTCGAGGTTTGATGTTCACTGGTAGTTCTGTGTTTCCTGGTAAAATTTCTAAGCGAGTTGTAGACGGTGGTCGACTAGAGACTCCTTTGAAGTAATCACTCCAGCGTTTCCTCTCTTACATCTCTCTCATAATCGGCTTCTTTTACTACCTTCCACTGGCTTCATCAGCACTGATCTCTTTCCAGATAGTCCCTTCGTTATTTTATTCGGTGGTGTGATGCCTGTGTTACATACAGCCTTTTCTGTTTTAGTCATTAATATGTCGAGGAACCATCCATTGTCTATCCTAACATTCTACTCCACTCATTTCCATTGAATCCTGTGGATTATACTCAGCTTTTCTCTTAGTTTTTCATCTCTGCACTGGTTCATACTATGTCCTGCCATCGTTCACATCTCTGTGAGCTTCTTGACATACTCAGAGAGCCATTCCTTTTACTTCCTCAGTTTATTATCCGAAATGTCTATATTGGATTGATTTTTCATCCATTACATAGAGTTCCAGTGTTCAAGGTGGCACGGATATACTCATGCCCAGTTATCTTTCAAATTCTGATAATCCCTACTAACCTCAGTCTAACTGTTCTTTTTAATAAACATATCGGTTTCATTATGTCTCCTTTATGCACCTTTGTGCATATCTTTCGGAAGTGTGACTAGTTGCACTACTGACGTCCTTAAACAATTCTGGAGTCATACCACCAGGTGATGGTACTCCATCTTGTCTTGGGTTGAAGACACCATTGGCAGCCATAACTATCGATGGAGGACCCATCTTCACATGTGGAAGGTGAATGACGGGAAAATTATGTACAGCTGCAGAACACTTGAATTACCACCCAAGATGTTAGAGTTCCTGATAAGTCAGTAATATTTCGCATACCATGGAGGTTGTTTTACCTTGTATGTTTTTCTACAGTTCATTAACCTAAAGAACCGAAGTAGGTTCGGATGTAACTTGTTTCCGACACCTTTCCCATTACATTCGCTGCTCCCTCGCACCGCCGTCTGAGAACACCAAGATTCAGCATAAGTTTGAACACCTTTCGAATATCTTCATCTCTGAAGCCTGTGGTGATTAACATACCTGCATAATTCGTTTTGGATAAGGTCATAGAATCTTTCTGGTACTTATTATTATTTGACTGCAGATTCCTATCTGTCTCCGCTATTATCTCCACGACAGACTGTATGAAAGACCCAAGCTGGATGATAGTTGTTGTCATTCACAAATGGCTAATTAAATCCTTTCCTAAATATGAATCACATGGCCTCATTATAAAACCTGGACACATGAGAAGTTCAAGGGTGAGTATTCTTTTCTTGATTGTGGATTGCTTGATATGTCTTTAGCTGAACCGAAGACATCTGTCCTCATTAAAAAACTAGAAATATAAGGATATCCAAGCTAGTGTCTTCTCTCTCCGTTCAATTGTGGGAATACGTGTGAATGGAATAATGTGCAATGTGAGGTTAGCTTCCCATTAGATATAGCAGAAGGAACGGCAAACATCCACGGCCCTACACATAGACGACTTATAGCTAAGAGACTCCTTTGTATCTGTCGTCTACTTGGTATCGACAGTCACCAGGAACAGACGGTTACTTGGACAGAATTTTAAAAAGCAACCACCACTGTCCGTCCATTTTAGAGGGACACCATAGATCATCTCAATGCATACATTTTGAATTGGCTTGCCTACATTACTTGAAGACTGATATCACGTACCAAGATGACTAATTTAGACGCTACAGTTGTCTTGTATCATAATATTGTCTTTAGTTTAGACAAAGGTGCTAAATATGTTCAGTGTACCTTCCTTGATTACACATCAGCTTTCGACCCTGTACCTTAGCCTTTTATGTTAAACAAGCTCGCTCGTCTAAAAGACCAAAACTGTTGGTAAAATGGTAAATGCAAGCCAGTCCAGTCTTCAGTATAGTCACATACGTATAACTCGTCTCTACTACATACGCAGCCAACGTTTAACTAACTTACTGATTTGCTATTCTGTATAATCTTCACTAAGTTGTGATGGTATAAGTAACTCAAAAAAAAAAAAAAATAGCAACCACACCTTTTAATATTTACATATATATATATATATATATATATATATATATATATATTTATATATATATATATAGTTTATAATACACTGCTATCATTTGTGTCAAAATGACTTTACAGAGTCATATACATTTCTAAAACGTATAATTCTATAACATTTCGCAGTATTTTTAACATAGCATGAGATGAAGGGATACTTTGACGCACACCATATGAAAATCGGTGATGAAAATTTAGCATAACTAGTTCTGTTAACCAACTGTTTTCTTCAGGATCATTCTACATAGTTTTATCACTAATTGTTTAACTCTGCAAAATAGACTATAACTTAGTTGCTGTAATACTAGCTACTCATATACTTTATACTTCTTAAAGTAAACGCCATTTTCTTAGTCGTTTGTAACAAATACTTATATGCATGTATAAAGGTGATACTGCTAAGAATGTCTTCTGGTGTCAATGTATCTGGTGACCTAAAGGGAAGCGCTTGTCATGAAAACTAGTAATGTACAGCATACTGTATGACTAGGACGGGCTCAGGGCATTGCAACGCTGCAACTACAGTTGTAGCAAAACAGTCTCAGAGCTTAGCGTCAAAATGGAGGAAGAATGGCGCGTCCTGATCAGCAGATATGGTAGCGGTCACAAATGTGAATCACTTCAATCTGTAGGACAGCAGCATGCATTTTTTGACAGTTCGAGAATTAAACATCAGTCTGGAGTATTAACACAAGATAAGGGTTGTACAGATCTAAGGTTTAAAAAAAAAACGCTTTTGTTCCTACCATCTACAGTCCTGTTCAGCGTCTTGTCAAGATGCTATCCATTGGAACCTACAGAAATTCGTGAGACATCTTACAGGTCAGCTTATTCTATGGGTTCTGATTTTCCAGATCTTTGAATTCACTTCTCACTTAAATATCGCTTACACACCCCACAATAATCTTTTTATTTACTCACTATTATACTCTACTTTATGTTAACTACCTAGGCCATTGATAAAGCTAAAACTTGCTCTTTGTTCATATTCGTTGCTTTCCCAAAGTCTGATTGCTTTGATTAGAAACACAACAACACCAATGTTTGAACAAGGCTATATCTTCATCGAAAACATCATAGTTTCTATGTTTAGACCAATATGTTTAGCATTAAACAATGCAAATGTATACTATCATTTCAGTACTATATAGCTTCTTGTGTTTATCTTGTAAATGCACTTTCATTGATGTATTATCCATAATTGCATTTAATACCATTTTGCAGCTGCCCAGGACATTCTTCTCTTCCGGAAACAGCGTTCAATCACAAGGCGGCATAGCACTCATCTAGATATACGCTGTTCACTGGTCGACCATAACTGTCAGCAGGAAACGGAACGAAGTTTGGGTTGTCAGTCAACTTTGATGGTAACCTTACAATGTAACATTTACAGGAACCTGTTCTGATTGCTTGCACAATAATTGAACAATTTAAACTTTTGAAAAAGTGTTAATATATGATACTTCAGGAATGTAATTGATAAGATTACTGATCATGCCTGTAAAAATGGCATGCATTTCTCGAAAACTTACCCATTTATACGAAATATAAATTACTATTATTAACAGGGTGATGGATTAATTAATGGCTGCATTCTTGATTTTCTGATGGGAAGCAGTACGCCGTACGTAATGGGAAGTCTACCACTCGCTTACTTACTGTACCTAGTCTTTCCCAAGATGCTGATCTTTCTCACTTTCTGTTTGCTTCTTCCTAAATGAGTTGCCTCATTCTGATCAAACCAAATTCTTTAATTATCCGATGATCTGACTATTACTATTCCGGTTAAATCTCGATCAAATTTTTCCATAATGGACAGTCTCCTCGGTGATTCCTGCCACAAGATCTTAAGGTAAATCCATTCAGATATCAGATTGTTAATTTCAGTGCGATTTTCATGAACTGGGTCGTTCGCATGATTCGTGTATCATAGATGGTATTGAAGTTGAATCTAAGTCTAGTGTTAAAAACCCTGGAATGTGACTTTCGCTTGAATTTTCCTCGTCTTCCCACGTCAGGATAGTTTCTACAAAGATACTTCACCTAACCCTCCATTCAAGGAAGTTAAGACTTCTACAGTCTGTTAATTCTTGTATTCCGAGTGGGGTACTGCTATGCCGACTCGTTAATAGTGCTGTATACAAGCACTTGAACTCATGCAGTAAACTGACGAATGATATCTTGTCAGATTCTGAGAATCCTATCTTTACATAAATCTACTTGCATTTCATCAGGTAGAACTAGAATCAACTATGGAGGACTTTATGCTCAGACGACTGAGTGTAAGAACTCCACAATACTTTATTTTGGTAAAGTTTTATGTGATGAGAAAAGTGTGAGGCTTGACACTACTAACTTGACTGACTGACTGACTGACTCAGTGGTTTCAATGTAGAACTTTGACAGATGTTTGCCAGTTCGTGTTGTCACACTCCCTCTCTCCTTGTAGTACACAAAGCAGGAGAAGATAAGGAGATGATAAACAGAAATGTGAGGCGAAAACAAGAGTATTATGGAAGAACAGTGGAATTTTACTGGATATGACAAATCACAAATAGTGAATGCATCTGCGTCAGCGCCAGCCATCACTGAGAACCGTCACTTGGAGCCTTCATTAGTTCCTACCATCTTGAAGATATCAACTAGGCAGGAAGTCTGCGCCTCCCGACGTGGCTGGCTTGAGCTAACTGTTGAGGATTTCATTGACTGATGATGAAGCCATGATTTGGATTGACTACCAGTAGACTTTTTTCCAACCTGATGCTATGTCAGTGGATAACATTGCCTGTCGAGGACGGCGATGGCTAGGCAAGCATGCGAAACACATGACTCTACCATGTCAACCGATGTAACTTCACAAACTAGTCGATTGATTTCCCCTCCCACCTACCTACCTAGCACTCGACTGTCGCCTAACCTCAGTATTGCTCACCATATTACACCACTTAATACGGGAAATAGAACTCAGACACCTGTGATCAAAGACAGCTGGCTAGCTAGTCTGATCACTATGCTAACAATCTTACTGGCATGGTAGGACCTACAGGAGCATTAGTTCATGCCAGTGCAAGCGCGACCACTACGTCAAGGTAACAACTGTTTGTGGAAACACTCAGTAGATTTCCATTGTCATGGATTCTTTCACTAATATACTCTTGGTAATACATCCACTTTAGTTATAATTTGACACACATTCTTACTGACATTGTTATTAATGCAAATGCCCTGCCCAGCGTCTAAAGTACTCCTACAGGGTAAGAATACTTTAGACGCTGCAGCCGTCTTTCACAACAGTATCGTCTCATCATTAGATAAAGGTGCCAAATACGTCCGCTTCACGTTTCTCGACTTCACTTCTGCTTTCGACTCTGTAACTAGATGTCTCTTGCTAAATAAGCTCTCCATGACACAAACCAAGTCCTGGGTCACTAACTGGTTGCATTCCTACCTCTCTAACAGAATGCAGTAGACTGTATACAAAGGTAAATCCTCCTATGCTGTGCTCACTGAATCTGGTGTCCCCCAAAGGGCTGTACTTTCCCCACTTCTCTCTTCTTTCTTTCTACATGACCTACCATCTTCAAATGACATTAATTTTGTCAAATATACTGATGATCTAACTGTATCTCTGCCTGTCAAATGTCAAAGTGACTGCTCTAAACTAAACGGCTTTTTATCAGAAATCAGCCAATGGTCCAAAGAAAACGGTCTCACCTTAAACCCCTCCAAATGCCAAACAGATAATTTCACATTTAGGCACAAACCTGACCTAAACAAACTGGTTAGAACTCACGAGGTGTGCAACATTGATGGCACTGAAATAGAGACCAAGTCAGAAATTAAATATCTGGGCGCCATTCTATCTGCTGATCTTTCCTCGTCGTCTCATATCTTGATGATTTCTAAAAAAATATTCCCTCTTACCTTCTACATCAAGAAGTTAAGACATTCTGGTATAACCAAACCCAACCCATACTCCTACGATTCGTTAACTCTTGCATCCTGCCTATTATTCTCTATTGTTTCGCCTTAGTTTTTCCAAAGCTGGCTACTGAAGACAGACTATATCTTATTACGTAGGATGTTAAAGGTTGCCAGAAGGGTGGTAGGCAATGTGCCACTTAACCAGCTTGTTAATATTCTAGTCGACAGGCACGTGGAGTCATGTGAAAAATAGGCAAAATCCATTTTATCTGAC